TTTTATTTTATTTTATTTTATTTTATTTTATTTTATTTTATTTTTTATTTTATTTTTTGCCATTAGTTTCAGCAGTAGCAGCTGAGTTTCTGGAGTTGTGAGAAATGAGCTAGGACCTATACAGACAATACATTACTATCACCGCCCTTTAGCAGTAGCAGTAGAATAGCGTCCTTGTGAACCAAAACTTCCCTGTTTGGGGGCTTGTGCTAGAACAGAATATGACAAAGGAAACAACTCCTAGATGCTTAACTTAGTCCTGGATGCTAAGCTAAGCTATTTTATTTAACGAATATACTGTACCTTATCCAGCACACACACACAGACACACACAAATTTCAACACACCAAATTACAAAAAGCTTGTTTTTGTTTCTGTTTTGTCAGACAGAGAATTCCCCTTTTTGATAACTGGAGTGCAGCTGATCTTGAAAAATGTTTGAATGTAAATTAAGTATCGGTACCGCATATCTGCTAATGACTAATGGATGTGCAAAGTCCTCATGGCAAACTTTACCTTCAGAGTTCAGCAGGAAAGAATAAGATAGTAGGCCAGGCATAAATCATGCCACTCCACTCTACTGAAAGAAAGGGAAGAATGCCAGTCTACTTTGGGAACGAGTCCTATTGCAAAGATGTCAAGGTAATTGCAGAGATCATGCACTGACTCATATCATTAATATTTTGTGGGTGCTGTGAAGCACACCTAGGGAAAAATAACTCAATCTGTCAGTCAGGGTTGTTAATTCTTGGTTTGGACCCAACGTTTGGGCCAACACGTGGAGGTAAACTAGAAGTCTGAAGCCACAGATCAATTCAAACAATTCCCACCTCATTTTACATGTCATTTGGGCTCTAGAACAGCGCCCTGAGAATTCCAGCTCCTTTCAGGACAATATAAGGAAAGATTCATATTCCTGAAGCTGCATATGCTCTTTAAGTTCTTATAGGCAGCCTCTCTTACCATTTCTGACTTTTTTTTTTTTGTTCTCAGTTTTTGTTCTTCTGTTGCCTGTTTTTAATTAATGTGCTCCACTGGAACTTCCTATATAATTGCACGCACCAGGATCTCTTTTAGCTGGAAAACTTTAGGCAGCAATTAATCAAGTTTGGGAAGACTGTGAGGCAGTTGAAATACTGTAAAAGTTTTGTGGAAAAGCCCATTTGCCCTCACCAAATAATCAAGGCAACTTCGACTCACCATTTTCATCATCAATGAAAATAAAATGAAGGAGGGAGAATAAAACCTATGACATAAATTGGAATGTGGCACAAAGCCCAAGCATGGCAACCAGAACCTGGTTGGAGAACCTAGACTGCAGATCAGTATCATGTCTCTAAATGTAGCTCATGCTCCAGGACATTAAAACAAACAAACATCATGTGCTAAATAGTGCTATAAATCAAACTAATTACTTAATTTTTAAAATCTTTAGTGCAAGACCCACAACTTGCAGCTGGTAGTTAGTTCTTCTGTGTGTCCTTTATTCTCAGGAACAATAATGTTAAGAACATTTCCAGGCAACCAAACCTTTTCTCATTGCATTATTTAAATGAAGCAGGCCTTGAGCAAGGGGATTCTGATTGGTTAAGTACCAAGCTGCTACACACGAGTTCTTCCATGTTTGCAGGTCCACAGCATTTGCAGCGAACTGACAGCCAATCAGTCCTGTCATCCAGCCATTACACTGGGATTACAGGAGCTAGGAGCAAATCGGGTATCCCCTCTAACAGCCAGGCAGACTGCCCTACGCCATGGAACATAGTGCAGTGAATTTCTGGCCTGAAAACAGAAGTGCTCTCTTTGCAACAAACCTCACCCAGGAGGAAGCTGGGACCATGAGTGATGGTAAAGACCCAATGACAGGGTTCGCTGGTCAGCTTGGGCTCAGTTCACTTTAATGTTACAAGTTTACTTCCTCTGGAAGTAGCTTAAGAGTAAGCGGGTTTCTGCAGACATTTTTAGAGCATAGGCAGAAAGAGCCAACAGCTGACAGTAGTGTGCAAGGGTAATTTATTTGGACCTGGTCCAAATTTGTAATATGCTTGCTAGCAGTGTGCAAAGCATACAAAAGGGATGTTTTGCAGAGCATGTTGAACGGGTGAAGCATCTCTCCTTGAAGCATTAAAATAGCTACATTCTCCAGAAAACTCAGTGAGGTTGCTCTGAAATCTTTCCCCGGCTGTCTGTGTATACGTGTATGTGTGCACAGAGAACACTTCTGTTAGTGTTCCCTTAGGACCACAGGCAAAGTAAAGCAGTTGTGCAAGGATGCACTTATGTAGAAAGGCAGGGAAGATCCTTAAAGCAGCTGCCCCAAATTTTCTGAAGGACACAGCTGCTTGAACCACACAGTTTGCAAAGTGCTGTTTGGTAATGCTTTGCACAGTCATAATGATTTCCTTGTCCCTTCCCCAGACACTAAAAGCTTATTTATTTTGAAAAAAAAAACAGGCAATGATTAATAAATATCCATTAGGCCTTTTTGTTTATGTTCCTTGTGTTCTTGAAGCTTACTTTGATCTGATAGCCAAAAATGGCAGGGTGCCACATAAGTGCACCGATGATAGCCAGAAGCACACTGGCCTGCATTCCTCAGACCCTATACATTCTTTTAATGCCAGCCTTCCACAACTGCAGTGCTTCTGAATGTTCTCATGATCCTAAATTAACATGGCCATGCTGATTAGCATGATGGGAGCTGTAGTACTTCCCATTTATGGCTCCTCGGCTAATATACCACCAGTGTGCTGCAGGAATCCTTGTCTCTCAAACATCCAAAAGGGTCTTGGGTTTTTTTGCAGACATTCTCTCTTCTCCCCCCTCCCTCACTTCCCACCATGTAAGTGGTATACATAAAGATGGTCCAACCATGGGGGGGGGGGGGAAAGCAATAAAAGCCGGGGGGGGACTCTGCAAACCAGAAATCAAGCCTGCAGAAATATGAGCAGTATTTGACAAATTAAAAAATTGCAATTTT